TATAGTGTTGAGGGAGGATGAGAGGTTGGGCAGCAAAATTCGCTCCATTTTCGTCGGATTTGAGCTTCGACTGGCTCTAATATGTAGCATAATCTACTCGCTACCCTGCTGCCCAGCTATGGATGCATCAAGCAGTATATGTACAGCAAAGGTCATCGATCAACAGAAGCCCGCCGGCCGGGGACGCTTACGTAAAGGAAACGGAACCAAATTTCACTCACAAATTCAATCGCCCCTGCCAGGTGCAGCCACATATGCGTCCTTCTCCTCATCCATCTTCCTGCACTCCCCAGCATGCCGCCCAAGGCTCCCCCCAAACGCCCGTCGACATCTTCAGCACCTCCCAAAAAGATCGCCAAAGCTGGGCCATCGACAACGAAGCCACGCGCTGCCACGGCTGCTACAAAGGGCAAGGCGCCCGCCCGAGCCGAGCAGGTGGATGTCAAACCCAAAATTGAGCGCAACCTGGGAGAGGAGGAATGGGTAGAGCTTATGAAACAGACCTATGGGGATAAGAAGGGTGCGGATTGGTATGCCAAGGGCGTCAAGACAGTTGAAGTGAGTACCTCCACCCATGTTTCGGACCGTGACTAATCGAAACAGGATAAATGGCAATTACTACCAGCCTTCTTGAAGGTCAAGGGTCTTGTCAAGCAGCATTTAGACTCTTTCGACTACTTTGTCAAGGTCGATATCAAAGCCATCCTCGCCGCCAACTCCCTAGTCATCTCCGATATCAACCCTCGTTACTACATTCGTTATACAGACATTCGGGTCGGCAGACCTTCAAGGCATGATGCCAATCAGGTCGCATCGCCCCTTACTCCCATGGAGTGCCGTCTAACGGACTCTACGTATTCTGCTCCCATTTTTGTGGACGTAGAGTATATGGGCGAAGAGAAGAGGATCAAACAGCGAGGAGTGCAGATTGGAATGTTGCCGGTCATGTTGAGGAGTGCTTTGTGTAACCTCAAAGACAAGAACGAGGCAGAGCTGGCTAGGATGGGCGAATGTCCGATGGACCCTGGAGGGTACTTTGTGGTGAAGGGGACGGAAAAGGTCATTTTGGTGCAGGAGCAGTTGAGTAAGAATCGTATTCTTGTCATGAAGGATAGCAAGAAGGATGAAGTCACGGCAGAAGTCACCTCGTAAGTCTCTCTTGATATTGTCATTACTGTCACTGACCCTCGTCAGATCGACTCACGACCGAGTTGTCAAGACCTACGTCGTCACAAAAGCCAACCGTCTATACCTCCGTCACAACTCTTTCAAAGAGTTCATCCCTATCGTCATCGCCCTCAAAGCAATGGGTCTCACTGCCGACAAGGAGATTCTTCAACTCATCTGTGGATCTGATGAGCGATACCAAGAGGCATTCGGTGTGTCCTTGGAAGAGGCTGCCAAGGAGAAGACTTTCACAAGGCGTCAGGCGTTGGAGTGGATTGGTGCGAGAGTTTCGCCCAACCAGGCCAAGGACGACGGCACATCTGCTCAAAAGCTCACCCCTACCGATGTTGCTCAGCAAGCACTCGCTGCGATGGTACTTGGCCACGTTCCTGTAAAGAACATGAACTTCCGACCCAAGTGTATATATCTTGCGACGATGGCAAGGAGAGTATTGATGGCTATGGTGGACGACCATATGGTCGATGACCGAGATTATGTCGGTAACAAGCGTCTGGAATTGTAGGTTCACTGATCATCACCCCCGTACATGCACTCATCCGTTTCAGGGCTGGTCAACTACTCTCCCTTCTCTTCGAAGACTCTTTCAAAACCTTCAACAGCGAACTCAAAAAGCGCATGGACAAGATCCTCGAAAAGGTCAATCGCGCAGGCCCCTTCGACGCCGGTACCCTTATCCGGCAAGGTGGTGACCCCATTACCCAAGCCTTCGTCCGTTCCATCTCTACCGGCAATTGGTCGCTCAAGCGATTCCACGTCGAACGGGCCGGTGTCACGCACGTCCTCTCTCGACTCAGTTTCATCGCCGCACTGGGTATGATGACGCGTATCTCGTCACAATTTGAGAAGACGAGAAAGGTCTCTGGTCCGCGTGCGTTGCAGCCGAGTCAGTGGGGTATGCTTTGTCCGTCAGATACACCCGAAGGAGAGGCGTGTGGATTGGTCAAAAATTTGGCGTTGATGACGCATATCACGACCGATGTGCCCGAGGGCCCGCTACATAAGCTGGTCTGGATGTTGGGCGTGGAGGACATTTCACTTGTCACCGGTAATGAGCTGTATCGCCCAGGTGTGCACCTGGTGCAGGTGAACGGTACGATCGTCGGAGTGACCAAGATGGCGAAGAAGTTTGTGAGGACTTTCAGAAAGCTGAGGAGGGCAGGCAGAACTTCGGAATTCGTCTCCATCTACATCAACCACCACCAAAAGGTCATCTACATTGCCAGTGATGGTGGGCGTATCTGTCGACCGATGATCATTGTTGAAAAGGGCCGCTCTCGAGTCACCACCGAGCACGTCCGTCTTCTCAAAGAAAGCAAGGTCACTTTCGACCACTTCCTCAGAGCTGGTCTTGTCGAGTATCTCGATGTCAACGAAGAGAACGATTCCTTCATTGCTTGTTACGAGCACGAGATCGAGGAGGGGACTACCCACCTCGAAATCGAACCTTTCACCATCCTCGGTGCCGTCGCCGGTCTTATTCCCTACCCCCATCACAACCAGTCTCCCCGTAACACCTATCAGTGTGCTATGGGTAAGCAAGCTATTGGCGCTATCGCATACAACCAACTCAACCGTATCGATACTCTCTTGTACCTCATGACCTACCCTCAGCAGCCTATGGTCAAGACCAAGACAATCGAGCTCATCGGCTACAATAAACTTCCTGCTGGGCAGAACGCGACAGTCGCTGTCATGTCGTTCTCTGGGTATGATATCGAAGATGCTCTGATCTTGAACCGCGCGTCCTTGGATCGAGGATTCGGAAGATGTCATGTCTTGAAGAAACAGACTGTACCCATGCGTACGTTCCACAACGGCTCGCACGAACGTACCGCCTACCCCGACCCACCCCAACGTCCCGACGCGTACACTTTCGTGGACAAGGCAGACGGCATGGTCGCCCCCGGAGCCACTATCAACCAATTCGACGTCATGGTCCACCGCGAAACGCCCGTCGACACGCGCGGGACAGATACGCAGTTGTACAAGGCCAACCCCGTCACGCACAAGACGCCCGAGCCTATCTTGATCGACAAGGTCATGCTGACGGAAGGAGAGGATGGAGCTTTAATCAAGCTGTTGACGAGGCAGACGAGAAGACCAGAGCTGGGAGACAAGTTCTCGTCGAGACACGGGCAGAAGGGTGTATGTGGTTTGATCGTGCCGCAGGTGGATATGCCGTTTAATGACCAGGGTATCGTGCCGGATATCATTATGAACCCTCACGGTTTCCCTTCGCGAATGTGAGTATATTCATTGGGCTGTGTGAGCAGTACTGACAGCTTGACAGGACTGTTGGAAAGATGATTGAGTTGCTCTCTGGCAAAGCCGGTGTCCTCGCTGGTAAACTTCAATACGGAACAGCCTTCGGTGGTTCCAAGGTCGTCGACATGTCTCAGATCCTCATTGAGAACGGCTTTTCGTATGGCGGTAAGGATATGTTGACGAGCGGTATCACCGGACAGCCCATGGAGGCGTACGTCTACTTTGGTCCTATCTACTACCAGAAGCTCAAGGTACGCCGCATTCCAGATGGCCTAGTATAATGCTGACGAAATGTAGCACATGGTCATGGACAAGATGCACGCTCGACCTACCGGTCCTCGAGCCAACCTCACACGTCAGCCCACGGAGGGTCGTTCAAAGGACGGTGGTCTCCGTCTTGGTGAAATGGAAAGAGATTGGTACGCCCCTTTCGCCGCTCTATCTATAATCAGCTGACCATATGGTATAGTCTCATCGGTTACGGTGCCACACAACTACTACTGGAACGATTGATGATCTCATCGGATGCTTTCGAGACCCAAGTCTGCGAGACTTGTGGTATGTTGGGGTACAACAACTGGTGTCCGAAGTGTAAGAGCGGGAAGGGAGTGGTGGGCTTGACGATTCCTTACGCCGCGAAGCTTCTTATCCAGGAGGTGAGTCTCCATCTCTACGCGATTTATAATCTTGCTGACGAATGACGCAGCTCATGGGTATGAACATCATGCCCAAGCTCTGTTTGGAAGACACTGTCTAGGGAGGGTACATCCGGCGATGATGGAAGTGGGAGTTCAGGTATCCGGGGTTTTCTCTTTTCACATACTCATGATCAAACGGTAATCACATGCATAACAACAATGTACTAGTATTAACTGCCTTATTTGCTCCTTATTTGCTAGACCTCCCAAAACCCGAGCTTGAACTTGACTACTCTGGAGAGCCTCAACGATGACTGAAGCTGATACTGAACACGACTGCACGGGACTGGCTACCGCCTCTGCTCAAGATCGACAAAGTCTCCACCTTGCATTCTCTTTTCCTTCTTCATATTCTAGTCCTATGGATAGCAAGCAGATGGCTGCAGTCGAGAGCTTGTGAGACAATCGCAGAGCTGTTGATAGCAGGACGTCAGGCTCTGACCGACTTGCGTCGGTTACTTTCAACAAATTGGTCACGTGATGGAGTTGGTCACCATACCTGTCTAACAAGCTTGTCTTGCTCTTCACAGGAGGTCGGCGGTTCGATCCCGCCCGGGATCATTCTTTTTGCTTTTGTCTCTTGTCGGCCTTTTGATACCGACTCTTCAAATCTTGGCGCTCGGGCAATGTCGGTAGCATCTCCAGGCAGCCACAACATTGAACTTATGCCATCCTCTCTGTTATGTGGCTTCCTACTTGTTCCGGACCAAATAATAGCTGCTGTTATTTCGGACGAGCCGAGCCCGAATCCGGTTCCATCCGAAAGTGGAGGCAGTCCAGTCCAGTACTACGTCGCCATATAAACCCATTCCCACCGCAGCTGTCTCACTCTGCCCCCATCATCCCAAAATGACAGACCACAGTAACTGGCTAGATCCTGCTGCTATCCAAACATGGTGGGACACCCCATCTCAGGCTGCTATTCACCGCCCCTACTCTGCCGACACCGTCGCATCTCTCCGAGACGTCTTTCCTCCGGTCCAATGCTCCAACGCAATGCCCCGCAAACTGAGGGGGATCTTTGAGAAAGTACAAAAGAACAAAGAGGTCAGCTTGAGCTCGAGCGCGAATGATCTGGTAGGGCTGGGCTTGATGGCCGATGCTGGCTTTGGTGAGTCGTGAAGGTGGAACTAGCGTGTGTGCTTTCGGGGTTGGGCTGACAGTGCATAGAGACGGTGTATGTGTCGAGCTCAACGCACGTTTCTAATTCGAATGAGAGTGCTTCGGACATCGTGAGCACCTGTCGAGCTCTGAAAAGTATTAATGAGGCTCACCAAGAACTCCAGATTCACGACACCTTCGAGACAGTTCCCAGGAACGTCCAATCCCTTTATCGCTCACAGCTCCTGTCTGCCCGTACCATTCGTCTCAACGCACCCCAGTCCTCGTCGCCCATCCCTCTCTCTTCCGAAGCATCCGCGTCAACATCCCCTTCCGCCGATGCAGGGAACGACATTCTCCCGCTCATTGCCGACGCGGCGACAGGGCATGGGGCGCATACCGTCATCATGAAGCATGTCAAGCTTCTAGCTCTAAGTGGGGCTGCAGGTTACCATCTAGATGACTCGTTGAGCGGAGCATCGAGACATGACAAGAAGGATGGGGAGGGAGAAGTGGTGGTGCCGGTGTGCGAGTTTCTAAGAAGGTTGACGGCTGGGAAACTGCAGCTTGATATCATGGGGTGAGTCAATCACACGCTCTTGCAAACAATAGCTTACAGCTTGAAAGATCAGAGATGATATCAATAGCACGTACCGACACCCCTTTCGCTACTCACATCACATCAACTATCGACCCACGAGACCGCCCTTACATTCTCGGCTCCACCGTCCCTCTTCCTCGAGACTTTTACCACGCCGAAGGTCACTCGGACAAGGCAGAGTGGGTGCGCGAAGCCCAACTTGCTACTTTGGATGATGCCTTCAAGACGAGTCGTCCGGAGCAATGGGCTGAGTTTGAGAAGAAGAGTAAGGGGCTCAACGCTTCTGAAGCATACGCCCTTGCCCAAAAGCTCTCTTCGACATTCTATTGGTCTGCCGATGCAGCCCGCACGACCGAAGGCTGGTACCCCTACAATGGCGGCCTGTCTGCGGCCATCTCGAGAGCTCGTATCACGGCTCGCATCGCTGATGTCGTTTGGGCCTGCGGACATGGGCACGGGGTGGAGGGAGCGGAAGCGATTGCGAAGGGGGTACAAGAGGCGCACCCTGGCAAATGGATGGCGTATAACCTCCCTGCCGTCGCTACCAGTGAGTGCATCCCGGCATCCTCTATTTTGGTCATGGCTGACACCACCAAAAGCACCCAGTGATCTCAAACTCACATCTTCGACCCTCGCCTCTTTGGGCTATACTTACCTCTTTCTCCCATCTTCCCTGAACGGCCCCCGTATCCTATCATCCTCCACTTTCCCTTCGTCTCCCAATGTCCGAAAAGCTATTGAAGAGGACGGGGTATACGGCTACTTGGCGCATGTGGCGAGGGAAGCGGAGAAGCACAAGGCGGATGGGACGGATGAAGAGTGGTGGTGGGATGTCATGGGCAGGTTTGCGGACAGGGCGGGAGATGCTGTTGGCAAGGGATTGTGAACGTCGGATGATTTTAGAGGTCAAGGTTGAGGACGTAAGGAGACCAAAAGCAAAAGGATAGTGTGTCTGAGTGACATGACAGGGTACAGAATGACTTGTTGATACAAACAGTGTATATGAATGGCTATGCGCTTTCTATATGACTGGGTACCCTCTGTCAGCGCTTGCCCCAGTTTTGACTGTAGACAATGGTCAATATGCAAAGCAGACTCACCTAATCTATCTCCGCGCTTCGGATCCGTAAGAATCACACCCAGCTTACCTTCCTCTTCCAGCTGGCGCAGCTCGCGCATGACAATCTCTCTCTGCGTCTTGCCCTCGGCGTTGGGGAGAAGAGATTCTTTAATGTGAGTCACGAATACTTTCAGGCCTCGGAGAGGTTCCCTGTAGCGGAATGTCAGCTCTTGAGCTGCCTGGAGGTGAGGACGAAGGAAGCTGACTTTTCATCTTTCGATTGTACCAGACTAGCAAGAGTCTTCAATTCGTAATACAACCCTGGAGGTGATATGTGTCCGTACATGGACTGTGCCGGTCTTGAAGAGTCGTATGAACACTCGAGCTGTCGCTATCCATTAACCTTTTCCACTGAGGATGATGGAAACCAGCTTACGAAGACACCGGACAACCGCCCTTCATCCCAAGACTTGGCCGCCTCGGTCCATACATCCCTGTTCATCTTTCCCGCTTCCACAGCTCTGTCCTTGTCTACCGTTTCCTCTCCGGGTCTACGGTAAGCGCTCTCCATGTCTCCAAAGAAGAGAAATTCCTTTTCTTGTGAGTTGGGGCTTCTGTTGGGATTTTGAGAAGGTGGTGCAGAAGAGTGGGCGGGGGGGACGTGTCGGACGAAGAAGGCGGAGGATTCAAACTCTCCTTGAGAAGTCGCACCGTGCAACAGGGGAAATGGTCGGATGGATAGGGGAAGGTTTTGAACCATGGAGCCAACACTTTTTGTAGTAGCCAAGCTGCAGGGTATGAGCGCCTGCTTTCTCGAAAGGGAAAGAAAACATACGGAGCAAGGGTCAAACATGGGTGGATAATATCCCCAGGAGAGCTCAGAGCAGACTCTGAAGCAGGATCCAGCGCCGCATAAGATGATTTCCTAGATGTTGGCAATACCGGTGCCCCCGTTACATACTTGTTCGGCTGTGCCAGCTCTTCAAGCTTGCGTCTCTTCTGCCTGTCCCCTCCTTCTATAGCATAGTCCCAGAGCATGTCGGATATAGGTTCTGGGTCGTCCGCTTCTTGGCTGTTAGGATCGAAATCGGCGAGTTCAGGCCAGAGAGCGCCTTTGTAGGCCATGGAGAAGCGTTTGAGGGTGCCTTTTGTGCCGTAGACTGTTGTTGGGGGTTTGGGAGATGATGCGGGGAGGGAAGGGAGAGGGGGGTCAGATTTCTGGGCAGGAACAGAGGTCGGCTCAGGGGCGAGGTAGGGGAAGGAGCCGGTGAGCATGACGAGGGAGAGGACATGGTCCATGTGTGAGTGAGTTATCACGTATGATCTGTGTTTGATCAGCATTCTACTCTGCTTTTAGAGTAAGGCAAGATCTCACGAAAGAAAAGAGAAGATGTAGGATGCTTTCAGCAGAGGGGTGTTGAATTCGCGGGGGAACACAACGCCGGGGAAGAGGTCTTTCGCTTTGCGCGCTGAGAGCAGCGTCGCTAGAGCACCAAGACCAGAACCTGTTCCTTCTTGTCAATGATTTTGAATGAGGTGGTTGCGCTGGACTCACCGCCCTCGACTCCAAGTACCCCATCCTCCCACTTGCTGCCATAAGGCTTGACCAAATACCTGTATTTCCACACGGAGGATTAGCTCGTGCCCAGGATACTACGCAAGAGACGTTGGGGAGACTCACCCAGCACAATCAGTCTCCAGAGGTCCTCCTCCACTTCCCAACACGACAATCTCAAATGCCGGCTGGTGCTCGTCTCCCTTGTTGTTGTTGGATCCCCTAGCGCGCTCTCTGGCCTGTTGTTTACCTGGTGAGAGCACGGGCTGTCTGGACTTCGAGCGAGTGGATGGCGGCATCTCTCGCCGAAGGGTATGTATGTACAGGGGTATCAGCAGAAACGTACAGGACAGGAGATGAAGATGGATCTGGAATCTGAAATCTATCCATCGCACAGAGATTTGACAGAGATAGATGTGTTGCAGCCGGCGATGACGCGCAGGCACGGGCCTTCAACGGCTGCCGGATCTGCCGGCTTCGGTTCTGCTGTTGATCTCGCGCTAGATTGGGCCAACGTTGGCCATGGAACAACCTTGCTCACACGACGTAAGCGAGAGAAGAATGACAAGATTACATGCAGGTCACAGGAGGAACTGCATGGGATATCTGACCCAAAAGAAGGTCTCTACGAACTGCCACGTACAGAGGGTCCCCAGTAAGACAATGATATCAGCGTTATACCCACTTACTACCGACTAGCACTATAGGGGGGACAGAGTGAAGATGTAGAGACGCAGACACATCATCATGTACGTACTCGAAGACAAGTTGAATCACGCTGTTAGAGGATGTAACGAGATTGAACTCATGGCATTAATTGTATTCTTTCTCAACAAGCTATTGTAATACAGCGGTATATGGTCACGTGATGGAGTTGGTCACCATACCTGTCTAACAAGTTTATCTTGCTCTTCACAGGAGGTCGGCGGTTCGATCCCGCCCGGGATCATCTTTTTGCTTTTTGTCCTTGCAGGACCCTTCGACAGTGGTCGAGTGTCTCCTCATGTCTACATGCACAGCCGCTCGGAGGTATGTACATATAGGTATACAAATACACTGGCTGGATGATGACCTCGTGTTGATTCATGAACGGAACCAAAGAGAAGAGCTACGAAAGGATGTTCCCCGCGGGGTAAAGTGACCATCGTCTCCTTCGTTGCAACTCACTTTTATACCTTTCTCCTCTTCACAGGTTAGACATTCCCAGTGCCATGTTCAAGAAACCCCTCGTGCACCAATCAAACGCAACGCCCATCCGCTCGTCCGCCCGGAGACAGCTCTTGGCTGCCATCTTCGAGCAGTTCCCTTTGCTTGTCGCCAGCATCGACGACAATGACAAGAAAGAGCTCGGCAATCTTATTCTCCCAGAAGGCGTCAAGACGGGAACTTTCAAAAACAGTACTGGCGTTGAAGGAGTAGGTGGCTGGTGTACCTTGTCGAGTGCAAGCTAATCGGGCTCAACAGACATTCTGGATAGCACCTGATGGCAACCCTCTCTGGATGTCTTTTGGCCGCAACTCGAAAGAGTATATCCCTACGTGTATGTCACATCTGGTGACGTAAATCAAATGCTGACGAGATATCAAGTATACCTCCTTACCCTACCCCTTCCTCGTCCCATCCTGCCGGTCATCCAGATATACCATCCCATGCCTCCCCCAATCCTGACCGGTGCACCACTCTTTATTCCCGCCGTTCGCAACATTGACAAGCCCCATCTCCTTCCCGACGTTCAGAAAGACCACCTGGTCGCTTTTGCAACTTCCCCATCTAGAAATGATGATGTTCATTATGTGGGAGTTGGCAGAATAGCTGCTGATGGTGGCATGAGGGGTGCTTGGGAGAGGAGAATTCAGCTGTTGCAGGGTGGTGAAGAGAAAGAAGAGGGCAAGTTTGCAGACGTGCTTTGTATAATAGAAGACCAGTGAGTGTCTCTCAAGAGTAGGCTGCAACTGGAACTGATTGGTATCGCAGTCTTTGGGAGCTTGGTTCGAAATCAACACCTCCGACGTTCACCTTTCCAGCTCCCAAGGTCCCCTTGGCTTCAGCTCCAGGCGGCAAAGCGAAGGACGATCTTCCACCGATAGAAAATCTCTCTGTATCCGGAGATGCTACTGGGGAATCATCCGAACCGACCATCTGCTCCGCCCCTCTCACCCCCGACGAAATCTCTTCCCTCCTCTCTCTCTCCCTCCTCCAAGCCCTCTCCTCCCTCCAACCTTCTTCTTTCCCCATGCCCGCTTCCCTCCTCTACTCTTCCCACATCCTCCCCTCTCGCCCTTCCTACATTCCCAAAGACAAGAGGGACGAAGTCGTCATTGCAAAAAGTGAATGGAAAAAGCTGGCCAAATGGATGAAAGAGATCAACAAAGAAGGGATCGTCAAGATCAAGGAGAGTAAAGGAGAAGTGACGGTGGTCAGCTTTGACCCGAAACACCCGGATCTACAGGCGTATGAGGGATATACGACGATAGCGCAGGAAGAGGCGAAAGCCGTAAAGAAGGCTGCTCGGGAGGCCGCTGCCAACCCAGAGGGCGCTGATGGCAAGCCTGCCCAATCAGCGTCTCAGCCGATCGATATTCAAGAACTGTGGAAACCCATCTCGCCTGCATTGCTCTTCTGGGAAGCGTGCGGTCTCTCCAAATCCGAGTACTACCCACCTTCTGCTTTGAGACAGACACTCGACGAATATATCATCAAGCACAATCTGATTGTGCCAAACAATCACAGATTTGTGCTGTTGGATGAGGAGCTGGGGAAGGCTGTGGGCGTCAAAAAGCCGGAGCCGGGCCAGAGCATGGCTAGAGATGATGTGATTGCAAAGCTGAGGAATGGAGTGAGCTGGGCCGTGTCCATCGGCGGCACCATCAAGTGAGTCTCTGTTCCACGCCCCGTTCAATATCTGTACTGACACGGTATTTACAGAAAAGGTGCCCTCCAACCAATCACCCTCACCATCAAATCCCGAGGCGGCCGTCGTACCGTCACCCACATCACCGGCCTTGAGCTTTTCTCCATCCCTGCCGAGTCTTTTGCGGAAGAGATGCGTAAAAAGTGTGCCGGCTCGGCGAGTGTGCAGCCGAGGGAGGGGGTGAGCCCAAAGCTTGGATTGGTGGAAGTACAGGTGCAGGGGAGTCAGCAGAAGATTATCATCGAGTCGCTTGTGGGCAGGGGTGTGCCGAAGAGGTGGATCAAGGATGAGGGGAAGAAGTGAGGGAGGGGGCGATAGCATCTGAGCATTTTAGCATTGTGATCATCGGTGATCTTGTGG